TCTCTCTCTCTCTCTCTCTCTCTCTCTCTCTCTCTCTCTCTCTCTCTCTCTCTCTCTCTCTCTCTCTCTCTCTCTCATGCTGCTTGTTCACCGACAGACACATCATCAGTACTTGAGGATAATGTACAGTGCATGTATGATTCCTGGAATGTACCCGAGGATTGTCAAAGCTATGTTAATTAGGACATCTGCATGGCAACCACGTTCAAGAAAAACACCCAGGGGAGGGAGGAAAATTGCTGCGATGAACTTCAAAATGTCCCCGCAGGTAACTGCCATGATGATGATGTTCGAATTTAACCAAATTTTGGTAAACCCTAAATTTACTATTTAGGTAAAATTTACTATTTAGGTGAAGATACCGTAAGATCTTGAAGCTAAATTCAGATATACCCCACCAAGCTCAGTTCAGATGTTGAAGCTCCAACTAGGTATAGTGCAATTTAGGCCTTGAAAGGCCCGCAACAGTACCTGTGTCACAGACCAACAGCCACAGGAATGCCAACGCCATTAGATCACAAAGAAAAGAAAAGAAAAGAAAAAAGAAAAGAAAAAAAAAAAAAAAAAAGCTAGTAGGGTAGTAGGGTACTTTTTATGTTTTCTTCTTTTTTTGAAAGGGCCCAGTGCCCAAGGCAGTACAAACAAGATGAAGCAAGGAGCCATATTCAGGGGCCGCAAGGCCTCCAATCCTACTCTGTGAGGTACAGCCCCTCCCCTGTGGCAACAAGTACTGATCTTGAAACCAAAAGAGAAGGTTACTTTGAAGTTTGGACTGTCATCATCACTTAGAGATCCAAGCTCATATTAAAAAAAAATAAGAAAATAAAAAAATGCTCACCGCTCCTGATGGGTACTCAGTCGAGCTAAATTTAGAATTCACATCCAATTCAGATAATTTCACACCTTAAAAAAACTAGACCGTATGAAATTAAATGTGTTGATGAATGAATCAAGACGTAAACACTGGAACTACGCTGACCACATTGGTGTGCGGGGTGTGTCCATTTCCACAATTTCCTCAATTTTTAGGTAGAGAGAGGAAGGGGGAGAGGCTGTGGCCCTGTGGGGAGTAGGGGTGCTACGGCTGGAGAGCTATGGCATGGGGCCAGAGGAAATTTACACATAACTCCCATTAATAAATTAATAATTTCCTATTTGGTAAATCTTCCCCCTCCATTGCAATCAATTGCTCTCGACTTCCGTTCGAATGTTCTCGACCAGACTCGACAGGAGAAAATATAAAACTGTGTGTGGCCCGGTTGGCCAGGGGCGCGGCAATCCATGGCAGGTATGCATGCGCTTCAAATAAATCAGCTTGGCATGATTGGAGAATCGAGCTCTGCAAGTGAGGGAAACCATAAAGTTTGTTGAGAATTTTTAGATGCTCTGATTCAAACTGACCTACGGAATAAAAGAAAAACACAAAAAAAAAACCTGAGCTACATGCAAGGGAGGATTATCAGCGGGAGCAATAGACAGAAAACCGAGTTGCAAAATCACGAAGAAGCTCAGATAGTCGAACACCAAGAAGAGAGCAATACAATGAACTTCGATGTCAATGTCGCCACACACTGGACACACCGACATAGTTTCCACTACGGCGTAGCGCCTGGCGCCCAGCTTGCTCTACTCAGCCTATCTAGCCGATGTTTGTTCTTGCAGCCAGATCACATCGCTGTTTGAAAACCAATGTACGTTGACATCATCTCCAATGCCGACCGCCAGCATACACCAGGTGCGTGCTCTCTCTCCTCCCCTCAACACCTCGCATCCCCTCTTCTTCATGTGCCTCCTACCTAAAGGTCATCATCACCACCTCTGCGCACCCACACGCTCCACCCGGCTATGGCCGGCGTGCGCCCACTGCCACCGCAGTGCCCTCACCACTTAGCACCCGCGCGCACCCCAGCCTGCCAGCAGAGCAATGCAGCAGCGTGGCCACAATGCCTGCACAGTTATACGCTTTAGTGTGATTGCTATAATATTTGCTTCCTTAACTACATTAAGACAAATCGATCTGAAAAAGATCGTTGCATATTCTTCAGTAGCTCACATGAATTTTGTCACTATTGGCATGTTTAGTCGGGCAGCCGTCAGGTCACCTATTGTACAAAGACGCACGTGGCCGTATTTCGTGTGCAGGGCATGGGACTCTTCACAATTCCGCAAGGGAAGAGAAAACATAGCATGTTCCAAAAAAGCTGTTGCGGTTTTTGCATCGCCATCTTGACAAATAAAATAAGATTGCCCAAGAATACAGTGCGAGCCCGCTGATAGTTACAGAGTTGAGCCTGTTCTGGCAACGCTGGGGCAGACACTTTCCTTTACGGAAAGTGTGCCCGTGT